AACAATCCACCTTCTTTCTGTTGATTTTTTTTTTTTTTTTTGGGTGAGTGTGGGAGGGATGCTGGTATTATTTATCAGGGTGGATAGACCTGGTTAGGAGTCCCTCAAGACATACCAGTTGAAATAGAAGTAGATTCAGGTAATGAGTCATGGCCAGAGCTGAGAACAGAAGAAAGGAGCTCTGGTTACTCATTTTCTGAATCAACCTTTGACCTCACACCTCAGATACAGAGGAATGGCCCGTATCTGCAACTGCTTGCTTTTAACTGCCCATGGCAAGCTAAACAGAATCAGTTGCAAATTTATGTTTATCTAGTGTGCAGGCACACCAGAGCTGGTTGTCTGCAAGCCCCTGGAGGGAAAGCAAAGTTTATTCACAAAAGCGGTTATACACATTCTAGACTGCACTCTGTGAACTGATCTGTTTAGATTGGAGTTGGTTTAGGTGTTACCTATTTTTTTATGTTTTATGCAGTGCCTAACACAGCAGGGCCTGGTTTTAGCTGGGATTCTCCTCTAAATCACCATAATGAAGCCCATCACAATAGAACAAACTGCAGAAATAGAGCAGAGTGATAACCCCCTCACTAAATTATCTGAACTGCAGTGGGGCTAAATCCCACACGATCTGCTGAGGACAAGACTGGCAACAAAGGGAATGCAAGTAATTGTCTAAACCATGTATGAGCTAAGATACCCTGGGACAAGAACACATGGCCATAAGCTAGCCACAACTAAAATTTAGGCTGAAAAGTAGAAAAAGATTTTTCTAAGCATCAAGCCAGAGATGTTCCAGAAGAGTTTCCCACTAAGGAAGTTGGAGGCAAAAGAACTAACTTTTTGTACAAACTATAAATGCAGTCTTTAAAGTTCATCAGTAACAGGATATAGGGCTTGCCTAATACTTTATTAAAACACAGGCAAATCATGAAGTGATTTAGGCACAGATTCCTACTCCACATCTACCCTTCTCAAAGCTACGTCAGATCTTCATTTCTGTTCTTTTCTAGCTTTAATTTCTACGATGAGTTTCATTCAGTTATCTTGAACAAGAACCAAAAACAAATTTGTGAAAGAAACAAAGCTCAGATCGGAGAGTTTGACCTGTCTATTCTAAACCTAAGAAACTGTGGCTTCACAGTCAGGACTTTTAACAGGACTTTTGTCTGGAGCACACTGCTGTAATGGAGATAATTTGTCCCTTGATTGCATCAGTCCACTTCAGGAAGCTTGCAACTTACGTGTACAAGCAAATGCACATTCTTCACTATTGGTAGGAATTGAGCCTCGGCTCCCCTGCGTGCCACATTTGATTTATGCAGCACGCTCCCTAGGACTTGCCTGTTTCTTAAATAGGTCAGTCAATATGTAAAGTGGAACCTTAGCTAGTTATCGCAGGTGAGAAAATCGGTGTCTTGGGTTTCAGCACAATCTGCTGATACAACCTGGTGAGAAAATGACTTCAGTGTAAAAAGCTACTTTTGTGAGGGAACAAAGCAGAGAGGAATTTGAATCTACTTTAGCGTAGCTGAGAAACTCTGCTTGGTGTCTGCCTGCCTTTGTCCCACCTAACAATGCATTTGCTTTAAAGTATATAGCGGAAGAGGCTGCATACTTCTTGGACTAAAATTGCAGGAATTCTACCTGAGCGATCAGTGTCATTCGTGGGCCAGAAGCATGTCTCTGACAGGACTGCTGGATGCAAAGTCCAGCCAGAGCCAATCGTAACCTCAAGGCCCACACAACACTTTTTTGTAAGAGCTGGGTTTACCAGAAGATTTTGCAGGGTAATGCTGACTGGCAGGCAGAACAATCTTACATAGACCCTGCACTTGAAGAATTAACACAGTAAGTGGAGTGGGAAATACAGTCTCGATCAGTTGTTTCTGTCTGAGGTCCTCCTTCAGTCTGTGATTCACTGCTTTGTCCTTTCTCACATGATGGCTTGTCCTGGAAGGCAAATCACAGTTGCTCTGTCCTTATTTACAGGGATAAATGCTGCTGAAATTAGAGTCCTGACACTCTTATAAAGGTACCATCTGATACTGCCCAGTCAGAGCCCAGTACAGAATGTTCTTCAGGGCTTCCAGCACTTCTTTCTGAAAACATCTCAGCAGCTTTCCTGGCAAGGAATCCCTTCCTGATATCTCCACCTTACCTTGCTATATTGTGTGTCAGAGTGAACCTGATCAAAAGGTTATTGCTACTGAAAGAGGGAAGCTTTGTTTCCCCAGCTACCTCCTACACTCTGCTGCTTTTACTGCCTCTGGCTCTCATCAGATGCTCTAATAAACTGATGCAGTCTACTAATCTGTCAGACAACTAAAGAAGCAAAACAAAACCCCCCACTTTTTCTGGATTAGTGAAATGTTTGTCTGTGAACGTCTCATGCATGCAAGGAAAGGGGAAGGGAGAGCAGAACTGGAGGGTGAAGAAGACCTCTCCTTGTTCAGCATCTGCCAGCTGGTAAATCAACGTGTGAAACCATAGCTGTAGTTTCATCCCATTATCTTCTTAAACATTAGGAAAAAACGAAAACCTAGGACCACATTTCATGGAAATCTCTCTCCTAATTATGCAAAAATATCTACAGGGTAATTATCACAGACTACAGAGCACATGAAAGTATTTTCCCTTGTAATTCTAGTTCTAGGTATATTTTGTCAGAGTTCAACCATTAATAGTGAATATTCTTCTCCTTGGGTGGAATCTACGCTAGACTCATACGTTAAAAGACAAAAAAACACCCACCTTTTCTCAGTGAAACACAGGGTGGTGATTGTGTGGCTGTTAGTACTTCAACACGTCATGCTGGGTGCAGACTCTTCTGCTTCATACCTAGCCTGGTTTCATCTGTCTGGAAATGGCAACTGGTAGGGTCTGATAAATGGACGGAGAGGTTGTCCAGCTTCACTGCCAGTGTCAGCCTGAGACACCCTCATGCAATGAGTTCCCCGGTGGTTCACGGCAGCTATCCCTGCCGGAGCTGCGAGAGCCGGCTGGGAGAGCCATTCTCCTGCTCTCTAGTGGTAGAAGCACAAAAAAGCCAAAAATGTTCTGCTTCTTTGAAACGAACTCATACGTGTACGCCTTACTCTTGCTGCGCAGACCTGAAAATGGCTGCCACATTCCAAGCTGGTAACTTGGAACAACGAAGTTTCATCTGAACTACTACAAGAAGTTTAATTCCGTATATGTATATGCACAGTCTTATTTGCAATCATTATGCTGAATTCTGGAAGCTTTTAAAGTGAGGACTTTTTGCTTTTCAGGTAGCCCTTGCAGGAACGGTTCTGCAGAGTGAAAATTTCTCCCTGCCGTTAGCAGCAGAGGGCCCAGAGTTGCTCCGTTTGGTTCCAGGCAGGAGCCAGCAGCAGGAATCAGACTCACTCATCGGTTTGAGGCCACTTCATGCCAGGATAGGCAGCGCAGCACCGGCTGAGCAGCCAGAGTTGAACAGCCCTGTGATGTGGTTCATCAGGGAATAAAAGTGGCGTGTCAGGCCATCCTGCATGCTGAAAGAAAGTGGCAGCCCGCTGCAGAAAATGGTCATCAGCATTGTCTGCCAGGGGCATCTCGAGGGCTGCTCCTGGCAGTCCATGGAAGATCTGGGAGATGTAGCATCCTCCCTGGGAGAGCAGGCGTCCTGTATCTAGTCATAGCTAACTGTTTGTAAGGGTCTCTAAGCAGGTGTGTCCTGTCTTTTCAAAGATTGCAAAACTGAGAGATCAACCACTACAAGTGGATACAAAACTAGAAATAAAGTCCTCACCCAGGACTCATTGTTTAATTGTGACGAGTGTCCACTGAGAACATCAGCAGTATTACACATCATTTGTGATCCCTCATGCTGGCATAACCACCATGATCTGCATGGAGTGATCTGTGTAACTACCACTCCACCTGTGACTGGGGTCATGTAGTAAAAGCAGTAATAGCAGGAAGCCACGGGCTCCTTGGCTGCCTGTTAGCTAAGGACACAATCTGTAAACACATACCTACAAACACATACCTATAGAGTGGAGTCCATACTAAATTAAAGGTGAATCTGGATTTTAAACATGCAAACATTTCAGAACAGTGATGTGTACTAGACCCTCTCTACAGTCCTGTATAATAAAATTTTTAAGAAGTTCCCTTTAAGGCTTGCTTTAACATGGACAGCTCAAAACAGACGAGTCAGTGCTGGACAATTGCAGGTTATTCCTTTCTCCTTCCCCATCCAATGGAAAAGAAGGAATATAAGCTTATTCCTACAGTCACCTGCTGACATGTGAGTAGTACATGGTTTGGTACCTGGATAGGCAATCCTCAGCTCAACTGCCTCAGTGGCTGAAGTATCTATTTTAATCAGTGCTGCACAGCACCCTCTTCTGCTGAGAGGTGATGAGAAGTGGAAATCCCTTGTCTGTCTCTTTTTCTGCTGCTGATAGGCATTTATATACTGAAGAACAGGGTAAGTATAAAAACTCAATTACAGCAAATAGGGGAGAATCAATAAAGGAATGAGAAGCTGGCAGCCACACAGATGGGGGTTTATCTCCACAGCAGAATCCTGACACACGACATTACAAGAACATAGAGTGCTCAGATGAGTTATGGAGATTGATATTTATGATGATGACTTGCAATTGTGCTATTTAAAAAACCCACCTATTTGGTAATGAAAACCTGCTGGCAAGATCTGATCAAAGAGGTGAAATTGCAGGAAGAGTAAAATAAGATCAGTAAATCAAATGCTCTAAATCATCAGTGAGGCACACTACAATTAGGGTTGAATTCAAGAAGGCAGAATTATTGGAACTGCAAGCATAAATCCATGTCATGCATGTGCTGCTATTTCTTCTGGGAAACACAGGCTCACCTCTAGCATTTCCAGACTGACCTCTGTCAAGGGCAAAAAGATAACAACTGTCTCCTAACATAATGATTCCCACTGACTGCGGCATGTTTCAGTTCAACAGAAACTACGCAGGCTTAGAGGATCCCCATTTTATTACCTTAGGAAGGTTCTCAGATTTTGTGTCTTCACAGCAGCTTTCACATCCACTTCCACAGAATATAGTCCGTGATGTTCATCTGCAGAAGTGGCCCACGGTGCATACAGCTGGATCGGAGCAGAGACCAGGTGGCTGGTGGTGGAGGCTCGGAGACCTTAGCTGACTTTCCCTGGGAGATAGTTCATTGTTATTGATCTGAAATGCCAAACAACCTTGAAACAGCAGTGCCTTCTACCTTTTCTGACTACATGCCTTGTCTCTTTTTTTTTTTTTTTTTAAATTCCACTTGCTCTATTTGTTTTATGAAAACTTCATGTTTCTATCATATGCTTGCTAGTATATGGTATCTGTAGCACAGGAAGCAAAGGTGAACAAACCCTTCTGAATAATTATTATCTATTTCTTATACACTGAAAGAAAAAGATTTGAGACTATCTAGTCATAAAGATCCAGCCTGGGTTTTCTTTTTTTGTCAGAGATTTCTACTTAGCACATTCATATCAGATGGAGATTGAAGCGAGTTATTCCAGTTTCAATGGTTGTGGCAGCTGGTAGATCAGGTTTAGTGAAAGAAAACATGTTTTGGAATGCATTTGGGGAAGTGCTTAACAAAAGCTGCTTTGAGTTCAGTGACAACAGCTGGATTTTGGTTTTAAGAGGCAGTGTTGAACAAGCACATGTGGAGAGAAATAGCTTGTTCCAATGGACTGATTATGGGATGAGGAATTAGGAAATCCTGTATTTTAGTTCCTGGCCTGCCACTGCTTTTCTGAGAGGCCTTCGTGAAGTCTTTTAGAGTCTCTGTAGTGAGCATCTTACTTATTTGATCGCATGTAGCATTAAAGCTTGCTTCAGTGAACAGTCACAAAGCCTGGCAGCTTGATACAGTACAAATGTGCCTTGTTTAGAAAATTAAGCAGTGCATATGGTTTCCCTCTTTTAATTTTCAGTAGAGAGGAAAATACTGGTGATCGGCATTGTCCCAGCAGTGCACATGGGAGTGATAATACATCTCAATTTCCTGTTCTCCATGGGGGAAAACACAGGTCTGAGAGCACTTCTGTCTAGTTTTCCCCTATTTCAGGAAATCCTCTCTCTTTGGTCCCTTTATAAAGAGGAGCTAGAATGAAAAAAGGGGAAAGGACCCCTCCAACTACTCTGGATTTTGGGGGATCTTTAACTTTCTTCCTGTGTAATATGCTGCAGAATGGTCACTAACAATTAGGAAGTGAGAGCAAGGCTGTTACAGGTTTTTAATTCTGGGTCCAGCGTTGCCTTTGTTGGGGTAATCTGGGCAAGGTAACCATTTTTCCTCCTTTTCCCTACACAGAAGCTAGACCGAAAGTGCTGAAGTGAATTTGTGCACCTACTGTCAGTAGCATCTATGGTAAAAAGTAGAGTGAACTTATTTCAGTAGCTCCATGATTTTCATTCTATGTATACTGAAAAAGTGCTAGAAGGAACTTAGTAAATGAACAGTTAGTTATTATTCAGTCTTCAGAATGGCTCCTTCCATTTCTTTAAAGTGCCAGTTTATTAGTCATTTTACTTAGCTACAAGGCATTAATAAAACATGAAAAGCTAAAGCTGACTTCATTGCACCTGGAAATCCATGCAGTATAGTTACACAGACTGGGAAATCTCATTATTTTGCATTCATTTGCTACAGGAAAATGAACATTATGTAGCAGCAAAGTTTACCATTTGTGGGTTTTAATTTGGATTCACCATTAGGCCACACTGCCACACTCCCTGGAGATATCTGCAATAAGCAAAGAGACGACCCCTGGGAATTCACTGAGAGTCTTTCTTTGAAGCAGATCCCTAATGAAACTGGAATTGTGATGGTCCAGCCTAGTCGAAGCTCTCAGTACTAAGCCCATAAAAAAAGTTCTGTATGTACTCCCATTTTATGTGGGCACAAGCTTCTGACAACTGTGAGTAAACCCTCAGGGGATGATAACCCAAAGGCCATACGACACTGTCATTTTCCATATAGGCATATTAGGAGTTCCATCAAGAGTATGAGAGAAGCCAAGGAATAGGAAGGAAAGTTATTATCTCAGTTTCAAGCCCATGTGACTAACATCCCCCCAAGCTGATTTTAATCAGAATGCCAGAGCTGGCACTGAAAAGTATCAGAAGTGTAAGCAAAACGGAGTTGAATAAGGACAGTATAATTTCAACAAGAAGAGTGTGGAAAGATCTTGGCTGACTTGCAAAGATATGTAGTTGTGTTAGACCCAATATTAAGCAAGCATTCTGCTGTATGCTGGATCAAATGAACAGTACACATTTCAGTATTCTATCCTCTGAGTACAGTTACTACAAGATACACACCTTCTGTGAGAACTAGGATTTACATCACTGAAAGTTCAGACCCTGATTCTTACTGCAGTTCTGCTCTGGAGAGAGATATTCCACTCCGAGTAATGGAGCAGTATGTGTATATGAGGGCTAGTTGATGTTTACAGAAGATGTTGGCAGGGACAGGATGGGGATATTGCAAGTCAGGTGCATTGTCAGGTGAGTGTTGTGGCAGTGGTATTGGCAGATCTTAGAAAGGAAGAAGTTCAATCTATTTGTGTTTTATAATACTGGTTTTAGAAAGGACACAAGTAGCACTTAGCTGCAATCCTATTAAAAGTGCAGCACAACAAAATCTGTGAATGGATAGCTATTTTTCCAGATTAGAAGGAAATCTCTAATATTCAAATAGATCACTATAACCAAAAACAGAATCCTGAACTTCTGAGGACCAGAAACCTCTTATATGCGGACATGAATTTGGATAAATATGATCCAGTTCAGTCTACTTGGGAAGGGTCAAAGTGGCTTCTGTAAAGGGGAGTCCTAATAGTTTAGAAACCTCTCAGGCATCTCTAAAGTGTCATCAATAAATGGAGATCTGATTTATACTGTCCATTTGAATTTCCAAAAGGCTTTGGAAAATCCAGTTTTTGAGGAAGCTAAGCAGCCAAAGAGGATAAGGGAAGGTCCAAGCATGGGTAAGTAGTTGGGTAAACAAAAGATGGTAAAAGTAAATGATCAGGCATCACAATAGTGTCAGCAGAGTTCTTTAGGGATTTGTGCTGGAATGTGGGCAGTTCAGCATATTCATAAATGACCCAGAAAAGGATGTGAGCATTCGAGTCACTATTACTGGTCATTTTCTCTTCCCATTTCCCAAATTTTAATGTAGAAAGGAACATTATTAACATTTACTCTAGCCTCCTGCGTGACATGATCTAGGACTAATGCAAATTAATTGCAGATTCAAGTCTAGTAGCTGGAATTGAGCTAAAACTGACCTTTTATAAAAAATACCTAATCTTGGTTTTAAAATTTCCTGTGACAGAGCATCTACAAAAAATTTTATCGTGTTAATCTAGAGGTTAGCTGCCCTCAACATTAAAAATTATTAACTTAATTCTGGCCTGAAGGTGTGTAGCTTCCAGGCAGCATCTCTTTTGCAACTATGTCTGCTCGTGTGAGGATTTCTCTGTGTTCAGGTCTCCATCTCTCCATGCGGGTACTTACAGATTATTATCAAATAATTACTTCCTTTTGCTTAACCAAAAAAGGTTAAGCTCCCAGGATCTTTTTTATTAAAGTATGTCTTCCAGTTCTTTTCCACTGAGCAGGATCTTCATCTTAGATTTGGTGCTAACATCTTCTACCACAAGCAGCAAGGGCAGTTCTCAGTCCAGTTTAACCACCTTTTGAGAGTCTTCTGCACTGGGGAGGTCTTCCAAGTAAAGGGGAAGGGCAGAATCACCAAAGCAGCATTGATACCACCCTTCTGTAAAGCAGGGAGTAAGTGCATGGTTGAGGGTTACATATTCTAGCTTAGACTAATAGATCTGCCTCTTGTGAAAAGCCGAAGTAAGCTAGTGAAATCTTCAGACTACTTAAAGTCACAGGACGATGTTTTAACAAATTCTGTGCCAGCCCTAGGCTTGACGGGAAGATCAAGTCATTTTGAATCTCACATTTTTTTAGGTCTCACAGCAAGACTCAGTCTTCTCTATTTATTCCACTCCAGTCTTCTCACTGCTAGAAAAAGTTAAGCATTCTCGAGTACTGAAAAGTGTGGGTGGCAAACACCTGATCTGAACCCTTTCCCCTGCTGAAGTTTGAATTAAAAAAAGCACCAACAAAATTGTGAGCTTTTCCCCCCATTACTCATGAACTGGGTATTTTTATCACCACACATTTCTAAATAAATCCTGTCACCTAATCTTGTTAAGTGAAATCTGAAAACCCAAGGAAGTAGATGTCTGTTGCTCCACTAAAACAGGGATTTGTGAAGGGTTTTGCAGAATGGTGAAAAACAAAGACAGACTTAACAAACACAAAAGTGGCTAATAATATATACAATTTTTCTTCGAGCAGACTTTGAATAGCAGCCTATTGAGCATCCACTATGCCATGAAGTTTCTCAGAAGGGGGAAAGTGGTATTTGTTGTTGTTGCTGTTGTTTAACCTTAAGTGCTTCCTCTGGAGTAAAGTAAACACGGAGATGTCGCCAGCTAGAGAGTGCTGTTTAGTCTGACGTGCCTCTATGGGAGTAGGAGGAGAAAATGATTGCAGTGTCTAGGTCAGCTCTACTAAGCTACTTTATATATATATATATATATATATATATATATATACAGCTTTTTTTTTACAGCAGTAGTGAGTGAACAGAAGCAGCAAGCAGAAATAAATGGGTTTTGCTAGTAACTTTCTGCTAGATACCATAGGAACATGTATAACCTGGGAAGCTAAATGGACAGATGTCCTGCGTCACCTCAGGCAAGGTTTTTATGCCAGACCCAGTGAAGGATACAGACGCTCAAAGGTGTTGTGTATCACAGTGTGTAACTCCTGCGGGCCTGATCAAACACAGAGTGGGAGACAGAACCTTCCCACGCTGTGCCCTGGTGGCTCTCCAGGGACGATGGGCCAGCCTGTGTGCCCAGCAGGAACCAACCGAGCCACGAGGGAAATGCTGAAACAATCAAGTAGCCACAAATTCCTTCTCCCCATCATATCACCACAGCTCAGCCATGTGCGGGGCTGCACATACCTTC